TTGCTGAGTGGAACAGGTAGAAATGAAATCAACTACATCTGTAAAAAAAAAAAGACAAAAGAGAAGCTCAATTATCATCCATCGGAATAAGGCTAGGGGCTGAGAGCAGAATTGGCCATGAGTCGCTCATATTCAAGTTGAAGCTGAAGAAATTTTTCACAAAGATCCACAAGCATCAAAGTACAGCTCTGAGTATATCCTATTTGAACGTACATCTCCAGAATAGATTCAATGAAATACTACCAGAAACTAAAGACTAAACAAGTTGTATGATGACATAATGAAAGGTAAAACTTTTTAAAAAAATAAGTTTTAAATTCCTACACTCACATAAAGTATATTTCATAGAAACTCCAGAATATTAGGGAATTTCAAAAATAAAAATTAAGGTTATATGTTGAGATAAAAGAATTTAAAATGTAGAGGCACCATTGAGTTCACTGACTCATAGAAACCCTAGGAAATCTTGCCAGATCTTCTGCCACCTTCACAAACTGTGCTGTGCTCGAGTCTACTGTAGGCACTAGGTCAACACATCTTGTTTAAGAGTCTTTCCCTCCTTCACCGACACGCTCCTTCTCCAGCCAAGAATAAGCTCTTTTTCAAAGGATTTGCTCCTCCTAGATGATATGCCCAAAGTATGTGAGAGAAGTCTCACACAATCCTTGCTACTACCAAGCACCCAGGCTACATTTCTTCCAAGATAGATTTGTTCATGCTTTTTGCAGTTAACACTATATTCCGTGCTTTTCACCAAAACACAATTCAAAAGGTACCAATTCTTCCTTGGGCTTCTTTGTTCATAATCCAATTTTCACAGGCATGTGAAGCTACTGAAAATTAGAAATTGAGTTAGGTACACCTTCATTTTTAAAGTAACACCCTGGCTCCACATCACTTTAAAGAAGTCCTTGGCAGCAGATTTGCACAATGAAATGTATATGTACGTATACGTATATTTGTTGTTTGTTGTTGTTATGTGCTGTCGTGTTGTTTGCGACTCATAGCAACCCTATGTACAACAGCCCTAAACCGTGCTCTATCCTGTGACAATCTTTAAATTTCTTAAATATTGCTTCCATAGATGTTGATTATGTATGAAGCCAAGTAAAATGAAATCCTTGATGACTTCAAACTTTTTTCAATTGCATGTAAGATGGGATAATTTTCACATTCTGTTGTGTCACCTTTCTTGGGTTAAGTAAAACAGATTATGAAATAACATTTATACAGTGATTTAAGTCAAATAATAGCCTGTTGTGTATTGCTGAGCTGATGCTCCAATGAGTGGATTAGAACCTCAAGCCTTTGGGTTGACACTACAACTCCCTATAACTAAGCAATCAGCAGTTATGTGCTGTCAAGTTGCCTGTGACTCATAATAAGTACCGCCATGTACAACAGCTCTGAAGACTTCCCTGTCCTACGCCAGTCTCACTTACTCTGACACACCTATTTCCATTGCCTCTGTTACTGTATTAATCCATCTCATCCAGGGTCTTCCTCTCCTGGACTATTCCTCCACCATTTCAAGTATGACGTCCTTCTCCAAGGCCACATTCCCAAAGTAATGTGAGATAGAGCTTCAAAATCCTGTCTCCAAGGAGAAATTGGATTTCATCCTCTTTAAGAAAGACCTACTTGCTTTCTTGGTGGTACATTGTATGTTCAAGACTCATCTTTAGCACCACATCTCAAAGGAATTAATTCTTATTCTGTCATTTTTAGTCATTGTCCAGCTCTCTGAAGCATAACAAGTAATTGCAAAGGGCCTGGATTAGATTCACCATAGTCTCCAGACTGACACTGTTGCTTCTCAATAGTCTGGAGAGGGCCTTGAGAGTAGATTTTCTTAGTGAAATTTGTCCTTTGATTTTCTGACTGCTAGTGCCAAGAGCTCTGGTGGCCTAGTGGCAAGAAACTACACTGCAATCCTGAAGGCACATGGTTTGACGCCGTCACCCGCTGCTCCGTGGGAGAAGAATGGGCAATCTCCTCCCGTGTGATTAACTGCCTCTGAAAACCTGGCAGAGGGTCTGCTATAGATCAGTTCTGACTCAACAGTAAACAACAACAACAATAGTGACAAGAGTGTTGACTGTGGAGCCAAGCAAGACGAAATTGTTAACAACCCCAATCTTTTTCCATCTGTCATGGTACTGCCAATTGGCCTAGTGTTGAGAATCTTTTTTTCTTCTTCATGTTGAGCTTCAATGCATATTGAAGACTACAGTCCTTGGCTTTCTGTAACAAGTGCTCAGGTCCTCCTGTTTCAGCCAGGAAGGTTGTGTCATTTGAATAACATAGGTTGTTTATGAGACTTCCTCCAATCCTGATGCCATATTCCTCCTCATAAAGGCCTGCCTCCCAAATGTTCTGTTCTGCATGTAGATTGAAAAGGTATGGAGACAGGACACATCCCTGATGCACTCCTTTCCTGAATTTGAACCATGCAGTGTTTCCTTACTCTGTTCTGAGGACTGCTTCCTGGTCAGAGTACAGGTTTCACATTGTGTATAGTAATACTGTGTGATACTTTCTACATTCTGTCAAGCCACCTATTTTTGGAATGGGAATAAAGATTGATCTTTTCCAGTCAGTTAACCAGGTAATTGTCCTTCAGATTTCCTGGCACAACCTGGTGAGTATGTCCAGGGCAGCATCTGTTTGTTGAAATATGTTAACTGGTATTCCATCAATTCTTAGCGTCTTATTTTTTAAGCCACCAAAAACTCAAATATTAGAAAACATAAAAACGAAACCAAAAAGGTATAGACTATTTTATTCTAAAAGTAAAATGTATTGTCCTGTAACATCATTTTCATGTTCATTTAGCATCAATTTGTAAATCAGAATTGTATATGTATGCTCTGTGCCAACCAGTAGTTAAGTGCTATTCTAATAAAATAAAATGTACCCTGGATGGAATATATGCATAGAACTGAAAACTCTTCAAGAGGTTTCATGATTTCTAAAACAGCAATTCAAAATATATGCAATGAGAAAACAAATTGCAATGCGAAAAACAAATACGCAATGCAGTTACTTTTTCTTTCCTAACCTTTATCTAGCACATAAACCCTATGATAACATGTCAATCAAGTTACCGATGTCTTTATTACCTTACTAAATACTTTCCGCAGGATCAGGTCATAAGTAGAATTATAAAGGTGTTTTTAAATGTTGGTCAAAGATAACAATCCTTTTCACTGTTATCACTGTTAGTCAGTCTCAGCTTGTGGTGGAGAATAGAATTGTGCTGCACTGGGTTTTCAATGTTATGATTTTTTTTTGGAAGCAAATCACCAGCCCTTACTTTTGAGGTGTGTCTGGGTAGGTTTAAACCCTTGTCTTCATTAGTCCAGTACTTTCCACATTTACCACTCAGAGACCTGAATGAATCTAACTCATGGATATCAAATTAATTCCCACACATAGGGATTTGAGGACTGAGTGAAAATGGCCACAGAGTTTCCAGTGATGTAAATTTTTACAGACTTATACTGCCTCATCTTTCTCACAGAGAGTAGCTGGAAAGCCTTTTGAGTTCTCCTGGTGGGTCTGAACCTTTTGTTTAGCAACTCATGCTTTTACACAGTGCCATTAGGGCTCCCTGGACAAACCTGGTTATTTTGTACTAGTGAGCTGGAACCGACTCATAACTGACCCTCCAGCGGATTTTCAACAGCAGGAAATTGCAAGGAAGGAGACTGCCCATCCTTCTCTTAATTCCCCTTTAAAGTAAGACACAACTTGCTCTGAAAAATCAAAGGCTCAGGTTTTCTATATGTTTATAAAATGTGTAGATTGAGTTATTTTTGTTCAATTCTAGAATCTTTTTACATAGATACATGAGAGCAAAGAGTATGCATATATTAAAAATATAGTTAAATTATAAATTCCACTGTTTTGTTTTCCTGAACCTCACAATGCTTTATAAAGACGTTTTCCTAAGATATTTTATATGTTTTTCTTTAGAAGAGAAATGCAGTGTACAATAAGGATTTGATTAAACATTGTAATTAATTATACTAATCAATTTTAAAGGATGTGATAATATGTGTATAAATTAATGAAAATACAATATGATTGATAAACGTACACTCAAACTAAAAAAAAAGAGAAAAAAATATTAAGATTAATTCTTGAGAGCCTAATGTTGAACCAGCCAATCATGGCACTGCAATACTTTAAACAGTTTTTAAAGCTTCCTTCTTTCCAGATCAAATATACCAAAAGACATGATCCTCTTTGTCTCATATAAATAACAAACTGTGTACACTAATTTTCCAAAGTTTTCCTTCATCTCTAATATATAAAGGAGTAAATTCTACTTTCTAATAGAAAGTTGAATTAGAAAGCAGAATTCTTCTAGAAATTATTAACAAATGTTTATTTGAAAGGAAAAAATAAGCAATAATAAAAAAGAAATATGTCAATAATAATATCTAATATATCATCAAACCCTATAATGCAGAAAGTATACAGAGAAAAATCTGAAATCTGGTATAAGTGGTAGAAAAATGGTAAGACTGCCTCCTGTGAAAGAACGAAAACCAAGGAGACTGGGAATGGAAGGAAATCTCACTTGATTTCTTACTCTCATAGACTTTGCTGTACATGAACTTATCTGTGATTATTAGTGAATATGTTTTATCATATACACAATCACGTTCTTTAATGAGTGGAATAATGACTATTTTAGTTTTCAAAATCATATGAGGAGCTTTCAAAGTTACAGATGTTATGACTATTAACCCCCTAACATGTTCAAATTGAAAAAGTTCTCATATTAACTAAGTCAAAGGTTTTGTTGAAGAAAAATCCTTGGTTAAAGTGTCTGCTAATCACTGACTATAGATATGGTCCTGCTCAAGCCACTTCACACATCTGGTTTCTGTTTCTCCATGAGTAACATGACAGGATGGAGAAGATTATATCTGGTATCTTTGGTCTAAAGGGACATGATTAGAAATTTCTGTCTCAGTCAGACGACTTACCTCTCTCAGTACAGGATCAGTTATTGAATTCAAATTGACAGCTCCTTCGTAGGTCAGATAATAGAACACATTGAGGGCCCGGACAGCCTCTGGTCCTTGCTGCTTATAGCCAAAAATGAGATCGATCCATTGGTGAAGCTGGCAGGAAACAAATTCACTCTCCAAGGCCTGAAAGAGAGGAGAGACCAGATTATTGTGTCAAATTCCATTTAAAAAAAATAGACACAATGACAACAAGGTGTAAAGTTCAACATTAAATCTATTTGAAACAAAGACTAAAAATAAACAATAAAACCAAGAACAAGTAAAAAGCTATTTTGATATCTTATTTACCATCAGAATGTTTTCCTTTGTTTATACTAAGAGACTTTTCATCATATGTCACAATGAATGGTAACACACTGTGCTGGTGCAGCAGGCTCTGGTGACCCAGACCATAGGGAGTTGCATCATTAAACCCAAAGGCCATGTCTCTCTGGTACTTTGAATCCATGAGTGACTCTGTGAGAAAAAGATGGACAATTTCTTCCCCTGAGATTTACAGCCTCAGAAACCCAAAGAAGGATAAGCAAAGATTCAGTTCAGGCTTGACAATAATGAGCATGCCAGTGGCTTTTAGTTCTTCCATTCTACAGAGAGCACCTAGAGGGCCAACACTGTGTCTGTTTGCTCACATTTGTGACTCATGGTCTGATAGGAAATTAGATTTCTTCCTTTTTTATTTCAAAGAAAAGAAATGATGAAATAGAAAGACTAATATAGGAAAGAAAGTAGTTTACTAGACAGAGGTAGGTAAAGAAAATGGGAAGAGCCAATGTGAAAAACAATATATACAAACTTTGTAAGTAGGCTAGTATAAAATAAAAAAAATATTTTTTTTAAAAGTTTACTATTCTTTTAAATATCTGTAATTTTTCTAGAATTACATTTTTTTCCTATTTCAAAAGCCATAAGCAAATTATTTACATCTTTCAATGGAAGTTGTATACCAACAAATTTTGTATTTTCAGGAACTGACTTACTATCACAATCACTTAATGCTATTAAGCACCAAATATTCTATGCTAGTAACAATAGAGTGCTATTATCCAAAAATAATGATTAAGTAAAATCAAGCATCCCAATGGCAATTCTGGGCACAAGTGCCACTTTCTATCTCTTATATATTTCCAGTTATTAGCAGTGTGCCTAAAACACAAAATTGTTGTTAGGTGCTATAGAGTCAGTTCTTGTTCATATGTCTAAGAGAATAAGATATTGCCCGGCCTTGTCCCATGCTCACAATCATCACCATATCTGCACCCACGGCTGCAGCCATGGTTGATCCATCTTGTTGAGGCCCCTCCCCTTTGTCACTGACTTGCTACCAAATCAGGTGTCCTCCTCAGGTCCCTATGCTAATATATTCAAAGCAAGTAAGGGCAAGTCTCATAATCTAAACTTCTAATAAGCATTCTGCAGAGTTGCGTTTTGTTTAAGGTAGATATCTACAAAATATTGTTCGCCCATGCCAGAATTAAAAAGCATTAATGATTGTTTGGGCTTCCTTAATCGTCATGTAACTTTTGCATACATGTGAAATGACTGACAATATCATGGCTTGGGTTTTGGTGCACTTTAGTCTTCAAAGTGACATTTAATTTTTTAAAATGAATTATTTTATTTTATACTGGTTTACATACAAAGTTCATAAAGTTGTACACATTGTTTTTTACACCAGATCTTCTCCCTTGCCTTTACCCATCCCTCCCTTCACCCATCAAATTGTGTGCCCCTATGATTAAGGACCCTCCTTGGGTCCTTGGACTCATGCTAAAATAATGGTCTTATACAGTATTAGTCTTTATGAGACTGAGTTCACTCAGCATAATGAATATTTTAAAGAGGTCATTTGCAGCAGATTTGCTCAAAGCAACGTGTCATTTTATTTCTTGATCACTGCTGCTACAGGCATTAATTGTAGACCTAAATAAGATGAAACCTCTTATAACTACAAACTTTTGTGTTTCTCATGTGCTTACTGGTCTAAGTATTTTTGTATTCTGTGTGAGGTATGAGGTGGCTCTGGCATAGAGAATTGCACTGGTGACTCAGAGAGACCTTCGAATTGTGACACTGGCAAATAGTGTTAAGTATACCCTGTCCGTACCCATGGTGGACAGCATTGGCTGGAGGGTCCCAACTAAATCAAGCCTGGAAGCAGGAGCAGCATCCACTTCCAAAATGGCTTGCCTCCGGAAACTCTGTGTATGAGCAGTGTTCAGGCCATTCATTCATAGGGTCGCTATGAGTTGTCTACGACTCAACGGCTCAAACAACAACAACAACATACCCTGTCCTGCTAAAAGAACAATCTATCTTGGAGGACATGTGACTAGGATACTCCTTGGAGGTAAGGATGATGAACCCTTATCCCACATACTTCGGGCAGGTTGTCAAGAGATACCAGTCCTTGAAAAAAAGAACGCTATGGTTTGTTGGGAGACTACTAGGTCAGCAAAAGAGAGGAAGATATTCAACAAATGGATGACAGAGAAACTGCACAATGGGATTAAGCATGGCAGAGATCAGTGAGGGTGGTGCAGGACAGGGCAGGGTAAGGCAGGGTTGCTATGAGTGGAAGTCAAGTTACATATAGTAATTCTATTCTTGCAATTAATTCTTATTTTTAAAATTAATGAATATATGGCTAAGATGTGCCCAAAGTATGTAAGATGGAGCTTCAAAATCCTTGCTCCCAAGGAAAAACTTAAGACCTATTGGGTTTTTTTTGGTGGTCCATGATATGTTCAACACTCTTCAACAACACTCTCAAAGGCATAAGTCCTTCTTTGGTAATCCTTACACATTGTCCAGCTCTCTGATGCACAACAAGTAATTGCAAAGACCATGGCCTAGAACAGATGCACCTAAGTCTCTAGACTGACATAATTACTCTTCAGTACTTTGGAGAGGTCCCTAACAATAGATGTCCCCAATACAATTAATCTTTTTATTTCCTAACTGCTGGTGCCAAGAGTTGACTTGTGGAGTTGAGGAAGCTGTAATTGTTAACAATATCAATCTCCTCTCCATCTATCATGGTGCTTCCAATTGGCCAGTGGTGAGGATCTTTGTGTTCTTGATGTTGAGCTCCAATCCATACTGAAGACTACAGTCTGTGACTTTCTGCAACAAAACACTTCAGGTCCTCCTCAGTTTTAGCAAGCAAGATTGTGTCATGTGTAATGTAGGTTGTTGATGAGTCTTCCTTTAATCCTGATGCCATATTTCTCCTCATAAAGCCTAGCTTTCCTAATTATCTGTTCCACATATAAAGGTATGGAGACAGGATGCATCCCTGACACACTCCTTTCCTGATTTTGAACCATTCAGTGTTTACTTGCTCTGTTCTGAGGACTGTTTCCTGGACCAAGTATAAGTTTTTGCAATCAAGTGTTCTAGAATTCCCATTTTCTGCAAGGTTGCCACAATTCATAGTGATCCACACAGTAAAATGATTTTATATAGTGAATGAAACACAGACATTCCTCTGGTACTCTCTGTTTTCACCCAAGATCCATCTGACATGGATGATAATGTCTCTGGTAGTTCTCTGGTAATGTACTGTTCCAGTCATTTTTGGTTAATCTTCAACAGGATTTTACTTGCGAGAAATATTAGTGATACTGTATGATAATTTTCACACTCTTGTCAGGTCACCTTTTTGTGGAATGACAATACTTGGGCACGTGGCCAGGAAGGACCAATACATCAAGCTTAAAAGGGTGGAGAGACAGTGCAGCAAAGGAAGACCCTGACTGCAATGGATTGAAACAGTAACTGAGATAATGGGGGTAGGTGTGTCAGTGAGATTGGCTCTGGATAGGGCAGGCTTCAGAGCTGCTGTACACAGGGTCACTATGCAGGTAATCTGATGGCACATAACAACAACAACAACAAGATATATGTGTTGTTTGGCTTGCTATTATGCTGTCAATATTATCATTTAACAAGTCTTTCTTTAGAAACAAAATTGTCTAACTACTATAGTAAATTACCATTAAGGTATGTAAATCAATATGTTGTTATTATTAAGTGCCACCGAGTCGAGCACGACTCATAGTGACCCTATGAACAAAAGACTTGAATTCTGTTCTATAACTATTATTGTTTCTCTAAGTAAATAGAGTTTCTGGAGCATGTTGTTTAGGAAGTAGATGTCACTCCTGCTTCCAAGCTCTCTTAATCTGGGACTTCCACCAGACACGGTACACCATGGGTGACCATTATGGCATTTGACACACCAGCACCACAGTGAATGTACATTCGTCATTATTAACATGGTGACTGAGGCAATGGGCTGGAATGTGTTAGATATTGTGTGGACGGCAATGGATAGGATAGTGTTCAGAATGGTTGTTCACAGGGTTGCTATGAGTTGTACTCAATTCGATGTCCTCCAACAACAGCAGCAACAACAGGGTATATATACCAAGGACCCCTGGTGGAACAGAGGTTAAGCACTCAGTTAAAAGGTCGTAGCTCAAGCCCATTACCCATTCTGTAGACAACATGACAATTTGATTCTACAAAGATTAGGGAAACCCTATGAAGTAGTTCTACTTTATTCTACAAAGTTTCTGAGTCAGAATCAAGTGAAAAGCAATGACTTGAGGCTAAATGCTTACAGTGAAAGTGGGTCATTGGTGTGTACTGTGTTTTGAAGTGAAGAAGTATGAAGCCTCACATTTTGTTCTTTCCTAAAATTGCTTTGGTTATTCAGGGCCCCTCTTCTTTCTATAAAAAAGTAAGTTTTGCTTTCTTATTAGAATTTTGATTAGGATTATGTTGAATTTACAGATCACTCTAACACATTTTCTATCACATTTTTTAATCTCTAAGCACGGGATATTTTTCCATTTAATGAGGTTTATTCTAGTTGTCTGTTGTTGTGTTTTAATCGTAAACCAAAAACCAAACACCTGCCACCGACTCGACATCAACTGCTGGGGAACCTCCACTGGGCTTTGAAGGCTGCAACCCTTTATGAGAAGAGACTGCGTCCTCCTTTTTCCACCTTCTTCCTCTAGTTACCCATCTTTCAGGTAGCAGTCCAACATATAACTCACTACTCTACCAGGGCTCCTTAGGTTTATGCATAGGGATTTCATTTTTCTAACTGCTTT